TTTGACTCCAAAGTCAAAATCAACTTGGGGGTGCAATTGAAGGGGGTGGGGGGCCGCGTTCGGGTCGGGGCGTGGTGGGGGGGTTTACCGGGGGGGTTAGGGGGGGTAGGAACCGTCAATTTTACGAACGGGGCACCGGAGCACTCCCGGGTCATCCCATCACATTGGTTCTCAATGTCATTTGAACCAAGGTGATATAACAAATGGTATTATATGAGGAAGTTGAATATTCTCTCCTCAGTGCATTCTTCCAAATTGATTTTTTTGAGTCAAACTGGATAAATTTTGATCATCAATTGAACTAAGGTCCCGTTTGGTACACGGAATTCAAACTATGGAATTGGAATTGAGGGCTTCAATTCCAATTCTGGTGTTTGGTAGTACAAAAATTGTGTGGATTTGGAATTGATAGTGCAAAAAATGAATTGGAATTGGCAGAATTCAATTCTATAGAATTGAATCCCATGGAATTTCAATTCCAATTCCATCAATTCCGTGTACCAAACGAACCCTAAATTTCTACTACATATTAGTACAATGAAATAAAGTTTTCAAATTTCTCTGTAAGATAAGTTTAATAAACTTATTTTTATACTAATATGCAATACAATTTTCACTTTAATTGAGGTTCAAAGTTCAATTCGTATGTCTTAACAAAAAAATCAAACTGGACGAATACACCAGAATGAAGGTTCGTAGTGTGTTTTAATACCACGATTGTTGTTAAATCCACATTTTTTTGTTAAATCCACATGTGTCCCTGTGGAACGAGACAACGAGACGGAACGAGAAAATATTTATGTGTCCTGGTCCCGTCCCATTTTGAAACAGTCCGGAACGAGTTCGGGACAAAAGTTTGTCATCCCAAACAAAACAGAGTATTATAGGAACAAGACCACGGATTCGGAATTCTCGCCCACTCCTCGTTCCTACAATGATGGTCCATATACTAGTACTCTAAGGAGGATATCCTAAGGATGAAAACTCATCATAAAGTGTGATGTCAACAATCTATTTACAACTATACTTATTGTTAATGCATAAGGAAGTCAAAATTTCAAATGTAGATCGACTGACTTTGACATAGTAGTGACAACAGAACAACAACTAGATTTGCACTTCACGGAGCCACAACGAAGGGCAACTAAACCATAACCAAACAAATAAAAAGCAAACACCCACAAAAGGTGGAGAGAAACATCACCATCAACGGGGAAAAAATCAAATCTAAGATTCACCACCAATATGATCAGATGAGATTTATTTAAAATGGAAGAAGAAAAGAATAAAGAACAATAGACAAGTGATAGGAAGGAATTGCAGAAAAATCTACACCTCTTCCCTAGCTAATCAGGATCTAAAGGAAGAAAATATTTTCTAGAGAAAGATGACGTTAGAATTTCGCCAGTATTATGTTAAATGGACAATTTTGTCCTTAAATGGTAAATTGCATCTCAATTTCTTGTATTTTTAAGGACAAGGTTAACTATTTATTGTAAATGGAGTGGGTTAAGCTAAAATGAAAGTGAATATAGTACCACTTGAATACTTTTTAGATAATTCTCTCTAAATTTTACCCCACTCAACTCACTTTTTAACACTTACTTCCTCCGCCTAAAAAAAAGTTCTCAGTTTGACTTGAATTTAAATTTAAAAAAAGTAAAATGTGTGGTCGAAATTGATACAGAAGAGAGAGATTGTGAGCCAATCAAAGTTTTTCCGTAAAAGAAAAGAGGATGTTTTTTAAGACGCCCCCCCCCAAAAAAAAAGCAATGAGTCCTTTTTTGAGACAGAGGAAGTACTAAACTCTATAGAGTCAAATCAACAACAACAACAACAACTCAGTTAAATCCCACAAGAGTAGGGTCTGGGGAGGGTGTGTGTACGCAGACCTTGCCCCTACTTGAAAGTAGAGAGGCTGTTTCCAAAGAGACCCCCGGCTCAACGTCGAAAGTTGCATTGCTTGACTAACTGCTACTTCATTAATTAAAGAAACGCAGACAGTTTAAAGATCCATTTTGATTTATTCCATCACACCCCAAAGCCAAAAAATGGTGAAATTTTGGCTCCATCGAAGATGATGGAAATATAGAGTCAAATCATAAAAATTATTTTGGGACCTCATATTTGATACGATTTGGGATGATACACCCTCCATCGTAAAAAGTGATTTCTTATTATCCTTTTTGGACGTCCCAAAAAAGCTTCTTTCTTTTTATGAAAAGCTATGAGTGGTTCACAATTTTTCTCTCCTATACTGGGCTATACATAACTTTCAACCACATATTTTAACTATTACAGAGTATTAAACTTTGTGTCAAGTTAAACTGCAAGCCTTTTGTTTTGGCACGGAGAAAGTTTTTTTCAATTTATAGTCAAATATCTTTTTTACCATTGCAAGTGATTCTTTTTTATGACTTGCAACTTCTTTAGGGTGCGTAATTAATGAAGTATTGACACTGGTGTTTCAACTTTCAAAATCAAGTAATTACTCTACTTAATTCTCAAATAACCCAAGCTATTGTTTATTTCTAAAAGTCAAATTTTGGCAAATAAAGTCAACAAGTGATTGTGCCTGGAATTTCAAACAAATACAACACTAGTTCATACCTAATTTCAAGAATCAAAATTCCAGAGTCTACTGCAAAAAAAAAAAGAAAAAGAAAAAAAGAAACCCATCCAAATGCTGCCCAAGTACTTCAACACAACAGAATCCACAGATAAGGCATTGAGTTGAAGTACTTCTACACTACTACACAAATGGCAAACACTAACAGAGTGAAGTAAGTCTACCAATTGTTTCTATGTTATCGATCCCGACCCGTTATAAGCTCTACTTCAACAACATTACATATCATCGGATTGCAGCAACACTAAACAAAACTGGACATTGAGAAACATTCTTATCTTCGAAGCCCGGCTGCTAAATATAAAAAAAAAAAAAACTTTCCTCTATAAGTCATTGCATTGTTCGGAAGAGGGGGCCTAACATTGATTCCGGAACTATTTGTCATTTTCCTCTCGAATTTCGCCTTCTGCAGCAACAACAAACCCAGTAAAAATTCATTAAAAAGTAAGGTCTAGAGGGAGCGTGTGTGTAAGCAGACCTTATTTTCGCCCAAAAGTAGAGAGGTCGTCCCCAAAAGACGAATAGAATAACAATATATACGAAATGCTTGATGATTAGTAGAGATTGTAATTTTACCAGGAAGATCAACGGCCATGCTTGCTAGTGCATCAGCATCCGAGTTTGATTCCTGTTGAAAAAAATACAGTCAAAACCAAATATCTTACTCAAGGAGTAAGGTCTTCGGGTATTTTTTATTGGGGGGGGGGGGCACAAACCTTACATCTACTCCCAAAAATGTACTCAAATGAATTTTATAGCGCTAAATGGTAATTTTTTTAAAAAAACATAGGTTTTGTTTGGGAACAACACGGGTGATTAGCATTAAAGTTTTGGATAAACTTTTAATGGTGCAAATTAAGGTTGAAAATCCTCAAGGGAAAAGCTACCTATTGGACAGCTTTTTCAAAATGCCGAAGCTAATACCATATGGAGCCATAGAGAAGCATGCAATAGAAAGATACATCGACCATAACAGATACATTGTGAAGAATGATGAATTACCCGCAAAACGTGAATTATCCGGAAGGAAATGAACCTTTCCTTTAGCTGTTTTGTCTGCTCGTATAGGGTTGAAATATTTTGATTTTTAACCTTCCATAGACCCTGGATCTGTATCATGGAAAGTCAACCAAACACTGTATTCAGAAAAGAAACGGATGAATGGAATAAGGCTTCGTTTGGGAATAGCATTTGTGATTATAGTTAGCATTTTTGATAGTTTTTTAATGAT